GGGAGAGGGAGAGAGAGGGAGGGGGGGGGGAGACTGAGAGAGGGAGAGAGTGTGAGAGAGAGAGAGAAAGAGAGGGAGACTGAGAGAGGGAGACTGAGAGAGGGAGAGAGTGTGAAAGAGAGAGAGAGAGTGTGTGAGAGAGAGAGAAAGATGGAAGCAAAGCAACTGGATTATAATTATTAATAAGATAAGTCATATAGATTTAACGAATGGTATTCTACAGGCTATACTTTGCATAGAATTAGTGGAGGTTTTCCAATATTTGCATATTACTTAGTTTACCGCTATGTTTTTAATGTGCTTCACTATCTATATATGGTACGGAGAACGATGTTCATTGCGATGCGAGAAGATAGTGGGAGGTTTTGTGATATTATAGAGAAACGAAAGATGCGAAAACGAGGTCCGATCAATTTGAACATCGTCTCTCCACTGAGCGTGTGCACAATGCAGACGTAGCTTTCGGCGGTCCGAGTATAATAATTAATGGCGATCGCGATAAGAAAAGATAACGATATAATCTTTCAGTGGTGTATGTTTTTCCTTTAGTATGGTAGCTCATAAACTCATAAGCATCATATTACTAAATAACGAGTAAGGTTAGTCGTTAAGGATTCCTCATTAAGTACACATCTCGTATAGCCACAAGTGTATACTCGTGTGTATTGAATTTTGAATTGCCTAAGTGCGTCGACCTCACCGGATGAGACATTTATACTAAATGAAAAAGGATCACATCGCACGGACCTAGGGTAGCGTTCAGACTATGCGAGCGACAATACAGAGGGAAATGTGAACGCAGTGTTTCTCGATCGCGTTTCACTACGTATCGTCTCACAGAATGCGTTCTTTCACACGGGATCGCCGGTGTTCCGAACGGAAACCATGGATCATTTTTTGGGGAAATAAGGAACGAGTGAGCGTGAACGAACCGAGAATTCGTTGCAACACTGATCAACGGTTGTAGTGATTCTGCAGCAATTCGTCACGGTAGTCTCCCGTTACGCGAGATTTCATGAAATCAATGAAAATTCATTTGTTACACAGATTAACCTAATCAGATTAATGTTACGAAGTTGTCGCTGATAGAAAATCCATCGTATATTCGATCGATAAAATAGCTAAAGTTTTTGGAAAGCGTTTCAAAGGACATTGACTGAACTGAATATCCAAGACGGAATGTAATGGACGATTTGTAATCCGGATATATTAGGGGTCCGCGGAACGGGAGAACACTATGCCGCTGCTGCACAACTGGTAACAACGGATGCATATGCGATTTCGTCCGACAACGATGTTTTCGTTACCAGAGAAGAATCTTTAATACATTCTCGCGGACCTTATTTGCCTGCATTTAAAAATCCATGTTCGATCGACTAGCGACTGCAGATATTTTCACTGCCGCCATTTCGTTTAGGAATCTTTCGTCAGAGACCGCTCTCAACTTTCAACATACTCTATTACAAAATTGCTTTTTTAAACGTGCCGAAAAGTACCACCACCGTTCGAAATTCATGAAAAATTCATCGGTTTACTACAAAATAAGGATTGTTCTTGTTCTGACTTAATACGCGTTAATTAGGCACTGAACGTTCCAGGGATTGATTGATCTATAGATTCGAAGGATCTGATGTTCAGTGATCTCTGATGAACGCGACTGTTACATTCAGCTGACTGTTACAACAAACGCGCGCCAGCGAGCGATAAACAATCGTAGGATGCAAATATGTCTCGCGTATGAAATGGTGTATGCATACTGCGTGAATCGCTGGCCATACAACGATGCAATCACGAGGAAACTGGGATTGACGCGTGGCCTATGATACCTTGCTCGGCATTTGACTTATGCTGATAGTACAAAAAAGATTCTTTTCCCGTAATGTAGATCGAATCGTCGTTCAAGGTATTACGGGAACGCGAACGAACGCCGAATGGTGGTCTGCACGACGGGCAATGCGTGTGGAACTTAACGCGCTTTATGATCCAACAATGTTTAATTCCGAGTTTTAATCCAGTGTTCCGGGCTCGAGAAAATGTTAACATTGCTCATCAACAGTTACCCGACGGTGCCTAAAAAATCTGTGTTTCTTCAATCTCCCCGAACGTCGCAGGATCGGTTTTATTCATCGATCAACAAATTATAGATTCTTTCGAGATTATTATTTCGAAGAAACTTGCTCAAATATAGCAGGCTCGTTTAATTGAAGCATAAACGAGTTCCTAGCGTCTTGCCCACCGACAGCGCAGATCGTTTACGCAGGGGATGATAGATCGTTGCGACTTCGAAATTAGTATGTCGAGGGAGAGAAATAGAGGGAGAGTGAAAGAGAGAGAGAGAACGATTCTAACTTGCCGAGTCGCGGCATGATTTTTCCGGTTCGGAGCATATATTATATATACTTTTGGAAAATAGGCATTACTTACATGCAAAGTATAGAATGTGTATGTGTGTAGCGGGAGAACGTCGGTAGACAACGCGAAAAAGCCAGTTGTTTCTTTAAAGATAAGGAGAGAGAGAGAGCGAGAGAGAGAGAGAGAGAAAGAGCGCGCGCGCGAAAGAGAGCAAAACAAAGGTAATAATAAAACTGTAAAAGAAAGCGAGAGAAGTAGAGATAGGGGAGAACGATTCGGGGCGAAAACCGATACGCGTTCGGTTCGAATCTGATTACGTGGACGATGAACAAAAATAATGTTCCCTCGCTGTTACGGGACTAATAATCGATTTGTTTCGTGCGACCAATTTATTTATTTCGTTAGGGATCTCTCCCGGCCGTATGGGATCGCGAAATGACGTGCGACGCGACACCTTTCGACCCTTTCCGCCCATACCGCCACCCTGTTTTAACGATTTCTCGACTTGTCTGTCATTTTCTTTTCCTCGTTCATTCCTGACTGTAGAGTGCTGATTCGCACGATAATCCGCGACAATCGTCGATCCATTCGCGGGTATCTTCCGAGAGAAAGGAAGCGGGAAACTGAAAGAAGAGAAAGAAAACTTCGGAAGAGAGAGAAGTCCTCGGAGCCGTGGGTCCCTGATAGGGACCCAGTTCGTCGATCGAATAGATTGACTCGGGCGCGCTCGGTTCGCTCGTAAAAATCGATCGATCCAATCGATTTCTACGGGAAGACAGGGGAAGAGGGATGAACGCGAACGAGAGGACGAACAACGGCGACATTTCGAGGCATAGTACACATTAAAGTAAATATGTATCGGAGAGAAAGGGGAATAAAGTTTTTCGACTGCGGGGATGACCTTGGCTCATTTGACCCTAGAAATACTAGGCGGGACTGGCTCCTGTCCAATAGTTGTAAAATAGAAGCGTGCTATCTTGCCTAGAACGTCTATTATTTAAATCTTCGAATGATATCTTGTGATCGTGATCCTAGTCTTTTTAGGGTTGAGACATTTCTCTCTGCCCGTCGTCGAGGATAAAAGATGCGAATGTAATATTACACTCTGCGGGGGAACGTCTGTTTCGGTCGAGTTCATTGTTCGATGCGCTATGCGAGATCCTGCTGGCGATCGAAGAATGAACGGGCAAATTACAGTTTTTGTTTCTGACCTCGCAGCCTTGTTTATTTACCGGTTGTCGAATTGTGCTTGAAACGGAAGGGTCTCCTTTGGTCTTTCTGGTACGATCGAGTTTTTAGATGAGCGAGGGCGAGGTAGAGAGAGAGAGAAGAGCCTTAGTTGAGGGAGAAAGAGGAAGAGAGTGAGAAAAGTTGGACGTTTATTCGCGACTTAAGATAGAGAAGAGAAAACGGAGAAAGCTGTTAAAAAAAAAGAAGAAGAAGAAAGCTAGAAAAAGAGAATCTTAATATCGTAGACGATACTTGTCAATTTCCCAGTTACCCTTCTCGATTAACCCTCCGAAGTATATAACTAATTAGAATCGTCTTATCGATGCTCGATAACACCAAACGAAACCCGACGATTTTTCAAGGAAGTGTAGATAACTCGTTCGTTCCTTATCGTAAGCGAAGAAAGAGACGAAGAAGATGAAGAAAAAATAAAGCTAAGAGGATACAGTTTTATAAGATGTATAAATATAAAACGGTCCGGTATAACGCCTGGACCCCTGTAATTTGTAATTTTTATATGTGGAGGGGGATGCATTATTATTGTCACCGGAAGTATTTTTTTTTTCTTTTCCTTTCCTTTTTTTATTTTCGTTTCTCATTTCTCGTAGAGATTTTCGTATGCGTCCTTTTAGCCTCCCCATTTCGGTACCCCCGCGCCACCCTATTCTCCCTTGGACCCTCCTCCCGCACTTCGATTTTTCTTTTTGTTCGTACGTAAGTTAGAGTCATCGATCTTGCGTTTGTAAAGTGATATATTTAGTCGGTTCTTGTAGAGAAATCGACGCGGTGTACTGGCACACGACACGGACATGGCATACAGATAACGACTTAAAAAAAAAGAAAAAAGAAGCAGTATAGCGCGACCCGTCCCTGTAAAACGGAGGGCGCAAAATATCTATAATCGAGGTTGTTTTATGTATGATTGTGCGTGTAACATTGTTAATAAACTAACGATGCTTATGAAAGCTCCTTCGACGCATTCGTACCTCGACCTGTCCGCTTCTTCTGCTCCCTTTGCTTCGCACGGCAAATCCCCTTCTCCAACTTGTTTCTGATACTGAACTTCTGTCGTCTCGTTGGCGAGCTCTCTCCGTGCTTTTCAAACTCGATTAATAATTTATATCCTAGAATCATTCGAGAAAGAATCGGAAGTTGGGTTAGCGAGCCCGAATGAATTAATTCGCGGATGTGCAGTAATCGATCCTGATCTGCACTGAAACCAACTTTTCGTCCAACACGTGATCGTGATATATTTTTAGGATCAGGTAGAGGCACGAAATTGGACAAAATCTGTTAACCCTGAACCTATTTTATCGGTTAAAATAACCGATTCCAGAGTTTTCGTTTCAAGACTCCGGGCATTATAAAGATTCTTACACAGAAAATGGTTGAATACATTTCTCGATTCGAACATACGTTCTAAGAAAACTGGCTAGAAGACTAAATAAATTCAGTTTCGCCATTCTTCATTCAATGGAATTGACATTGGTCGCTTTTAGTGCTCCGCAGACTCGGCTGCGAACGAAACTGATAATCGAAGATGATCTCGAAAAAGACATCAAAGTGTTATCTAACGAACCGGGGCGGGTCGTAAAACGGCCGGTCAATGATTAACCATTCTCGTGCCGAGTCTCAGTTTCGACTGGTCTTAATCTACGTTTCCTGATAAGAGAGGTGTAACACGCGTACCAGCTTCGAATCGCGCAACACCCGAAATATCAGCGGCCAACGAATCGCCCGAGAACGCCCGTAAAAGTCCGTGTTTATGTGTTTCCGCGCGTGTGTTACTCTTATCGCGGCCGTGTACCTACAAAACGATCCAATTTTCATGCCGTATAAATTCAATCGGCGCTACGCGTCGATAAACCGCCGCGCAAGCAATAGGCCTCGAGTATCTATTCGCTAATGAATCCTCGCCCCTCCCCCCCAGTCCCGAAAATCTAATTGCGGCTCGTCGACGCGGAACGTTGTTACATCGATTCATTACACCCGGAGAAAATGATCGTCGTTGTTCACGTGTGTATTAGCGGCACGCCTTACGTGTTCCCATAACAACAACCTCGGCCCGGACTTGACAGTAACGACAGTGACTCGACAATAAATTTATGCAGTTAAATTGCTACCCTCGGCTACGTGCACTCGGATGAAAAACGCCGCTTAAAGGGGTTCTACTGCCAGATCGCATGATAGCGCTCTTTAAGCGCGGTTTAACAACGATTACGCGAGAAACGGAGACGCTGGAAACGCGACTGAACACGGAGAAATAAGAAATGCTCGAAATTTCAACCGGTTGAAATTATCCTCAACCTTTTGCAGATTAAATTCACGCTTTCGGCAGATCAAATCGAATCATATTTTTGCGGTTTAAATTTACACTTTCGCGGTTCAAACTCACCTTTTCTCAACGTATTTAACGCTAAACTTACGTAGCTAGTCGATACAACGGAAATAGAAATGGCACAGAGTCTAGGTTTGGTGTTTCCAGAGTTAAATAATCATTCTGTTACAACTATTATCCGCACGGATAAAGAGCTTTTTTTTGAGTATTTTGAGTATTTTGAGTTCACCGTCGAACTTGATGTTGAATTTCATAATTTTTGGTGGAGAAACATATTAGAGAAGAACTTGGTGTCCACAAGGGCGAATTTGATTTCTAAAAAGATAAATTTCATTTAGGAATGATTAGATTTGATTCGCAAAAGCTGAGTATAATTTGCAAACGAATGAATTTAGGATGCAAAAGTATGAATTAAATTTGCAAAAGGATGAATATAATTTGCTGAAGGACGAATCGGGAGTGCAATTCGAGGCGATCTGAGAAAATTCTTCGAGCGCAAACTGCTAATAATGAATACATCGAAAACCGTGATTTAGGCTGCTGAGGGAATTCGGAGAAATCTCGACGGAAACAAAGGCGAAACTGTGCTGTTTCGTGGACTTACCGGATCGTGATCCGTCGATCGGGGAGAAAGGGCACTAGGGGGTTTTTCGGAAAATTAGCCAGCTGTAATTTTCCGGAAAAAATGCGAGGGGGTGGAACGGACAGTGTCGCCGTCGTGCCGGCAATAGTTGCGCGCGCACTGCGAGTCACGTTTCTATCAGTAGAAACGCTCAGTTGCCGCCGCGCGTCCGCGTGATCCGCACTTTTTGAAGTTCTCCTACGGGAAAAAAGGGGTTCGTCGATCCCGAAGTGTGTCTCGCCTCGATTCGATCGCGGGAAATTAACAGGTTCCCTCTAATTAAACGCGGGAAGTCGTGCTCGAACGAACGCTGCTCGTCGGTGCCCGTGAGAAGTTCGTTTTAACCATAAAAGAAATACTTGCCGCGCATTCGCGAGGTGACGGTGACTACGAAATTCACGCTTGTGCCATTTCGTTGCAATTGTATAATTGGGGAGAGAGCGTTGTTTGTACAGTGGATCCACTAGTAAACTGTCCGGCGGACTTCGGTACAAGTAGGAACATTCTTATCAACTAATTTACGTCGATTTTTCTGATTCACAGCGTGATTACGAAGTTCCATTTTTCACTGTGAAGTTTTGCTCGATCTTTGTCCGAGGTGGAAACGGGGAAATTTTTCGTTGTTTCTCCTAGATTTTGGTTTTTAACATTTTTTGTGATTGAATTACATTCGATCGTTGTGCGAAATGTACGTAAATGTAATACACGTGATAGCAAATTCTGCGTGTGCGAAAGACGCTGCGATAATCGATTTCGATCTGAGGTCGCTTCGAGAATTTAACCTGAATCGAAAACACGTGAGCGTCGCCCAGCCATTTTTATCGCCGCGCAGAAAACAATCCGCGAAAACGATCAGACACAAATCCACAATCCGACGAAACCGAATAGGTCTCTACGATTAGTTCGCCTAATCTCGATTCCCAATCAGTGTCCGCCGTATCGCTTGTTCAGATTTCATAAAAATCCTTCGATACAGGACAACGTCGTTTTGTCGCTTTTGCAACCAGTTTCGTATTAACGGTTCCCTCTTGTCTGGCCATTGCATAACCAATTGGTTCACCGTTAGTATTAATAATAATGTCCGAGATTTGCATGAACATCCGCGAGTACAGTCTGCCAGTTGTGACGATGACGATAGCAAAAGATGCAATCGAGCTTTTGAAGGTTCCGGAAGTCGGAACTCGTTTCGAGGAAGCGCGGAACAAAAGAAGGTTCGGGTGTTATGGTTGAGGCGCGGTGACCTTTAACGGATCGCGCATCGTTAATAAATTTTTCACTGTTATCGCTTGTTTGAAAGGAAGCTCCCCTCCCCCGACCGTGCATCTGAGCCGGCACGTGTAAATACACCGGTTCACAAAGATTGGTTTACGAGCTGCCTCGAAAGAGCAGCTTCCCCGTCGCCTTAGCTTTTCAGCAATAAACAGTGCATGTGCATCGCGAGCTATGCAGTCAGTGCAACGAGGGAGGGGAGAGTGATTCGTACACCGCCGCCTCTTCGTTTCAAGTGTGCTCGACCTGAGTGACACTTTTTAGCAAGCTACCAAGGCAAAGTTTTGATAATGATATATAAAATTGCATTGTAAATCGATAGACACATTTCGTCAAGGAAAATTTGAGAATGATTGTACGAAACTAATAATGATCTATAAGAATGTAGTTTCTTTTATTTGCTCTTAAAGTACATACTGTTTGCTTTAGATTCTCTACAGTCGTGTCAATATTCAATAATGATGTTTGGACACCTGTATTGTTATCTATTAGTCTATACCATAGCTAGATTTTGAACACATTATATCAGTTTATACAATTGATGTTGCGTTACAGTACAGTTGATATTGCGTTGAATGCTGGAATTAGTGATAATACAGAACATACATATAGTGCGAAACGGTTTCTGATTAATTATGCTACCTGCCAATCATTTAGAAGTTTAGTTATTAAAATATTTAGGGCACTATCAATTTAACTCAGCGGTGCAGAATATTATTTATATGATCGTGATTTTGGAAACTAAATATCTATGAGAAACGTTATAATTTGTTCCCTTTGTTTATCTACGGACGTTGAATCGTTTAGAAAATATCATTAGACTGTATATCTTGTGTATTTACTACAGAAAAACGAGTGGCTAACATTTAAAACAATAGAAAGATTTGCAGAATTTAATAATTTTACCTTCCTAAAATGATTAAAGAAAGAAAGAGAGAAAGTCCTATCTGTTTCTCAAGTGGCAATCGATGAAGAATTTGATCGCCGAAGTTGCATCGAACATTTCTTCGACCACAAACATTTAATATTCCTATAATTTTTGCTAGATCGTTAAAGTATCGCTGTGTCGGTACGATTGGCTCGCAACTTCGGTTCCTGAAAATTCCCTCTTCCGCAAACTTCGCGAGTACTCGAATAAAAGTCTCGCCTAACTCTTTCCTGTTCAGTTTTCGCCTCCTCCAGACCGAGAACTCTCTTCAAGGGCGGAGGCGCGCGCCTTCTCATTTCCTTGCGCAGTTTTGAAACGATGATAGATGAAAAGAAATTGTTATAAATGAAAATTTAACAGCCCTCTGTACCACGGAGAACTGGGATAATGAAACTCCGGAGAACTGAATCAAATTCTTCGAAGTTCGTAACCAGATAGGATAGCCCCCCTGTCCGGCCATTTTTCTTTAAAAAATGTTTCGCGAAGTTTAAGGGGATGCAAATAATCGCGAGATCTCTGTTGGACGGGAACCGTTCAATTTATCCTGCCTTTCGAGGTGTGCAGGCGGTGTGGGGAAAACGTTTTAACCCTTGAGGGATGCTTTCTCCCTGAGGAAATCGAGGGAAGTTTTCCGGATAGAGGGACACAAAAACGGTAACGAGTGAAGTGTGACAGACGTGTCTTTCTTTCCACTTTTTCATAGAAACGGGACACTTGCGTAAAGTACATTGTCTTAACATTGATCGTAAGTTAGCAGAAGTAGCATTTCTACCCTATTGTTCAGTCGAGCATCTCAAATATAAATCATACGGCATTAAGCGCAATTATCGTTTAATTCGGAAGCGCTTTATATCTTCGTTTGGTAAAAACAAAGTGTCGAAGAACGACAACAGATAGTGTGCAAGTAAATTCGTTTGCACTTAGTTATACCGCGATAACAATTTCAATTCAATATTTACTTCATCGTTAAGCTTGAAATTCTCATGCTTGTTCGACGAATTACATTGTTCGGACTATCTGTATCTTTTCGCGAGGTTTTAAAAGGGCCACAATCTTTCCGAGAGGTACTCGTGAGATGGAATAGCCTAATTGATTAGCTGCGGCTGTCGCGGAGAAATCGAATATCGTCTCGTCTACTGGTCACGGGAGCAACAGTTGTCCCAGACTGTCACCAGAAGTTATCTGTTCGCGGGCACGTTTAATTTTCAGCGGGTTATCGCGCCGTTTCTTGCGCGTGACTTAAAACGACGAGATTAGGATTTGGCTAAATCGAAGGAAATTCGTGCGAATTCTGTCGAAAAGTCCATAACACGATTGTTAAATCCACTACGTTTTCTCTATAATTTCGTAAAGGAAGCTTTATTGTAACTGCAAACCGAATTCGAGATTTGAAGCTGGTTACTTTCGAAACAAATGATCTTGGTCTCAAAATATCCTGGGACTAAAACGCGTCGATTTAGCTGAAATTCAGTGTACAAGTTATTTCCGAAACGATCTAGTATTTTCTCACCGAAACATTTGCCATCTGCATAATTTTGTTTTTTTTTCTCTTTTTTTTAACACGGTTTCCATAAATCTGGGTTTCCGTTTTGTTAGATTGTTCATTTTAAAGCTGTTTTTACGCGGCTACGAAAACGCGCGAACGAAATGTTCAGGAACTTCCACGGAACGTGCATGTATCTTCGAACAGCGATAATAGCACTTCAGCCGTTTCTAGGTGTGTGTAATTGTTTAAGTATGCAGATGAGCTAATTAAAATACAGTAAATTACGCGTCGCCGGGCAGTTCGGAGCGAGAAAGAGGAGCGCGTAAATGTGTTATTGATAAGCATCGTTGCGAAAGATCAGAGGTGTCTAAATTGACATAAAAGATCGTTTCAGCGAGTTCGATTAACTGTAATTAAAATACCAGCATGACGCAACATTTCGAAACAGATCCCTCCCGTTTCCATAAAAAAAAATATTGTTCCCGCGTTTCTCTCGTAAGAGAATCGAATCGAATCGATACGGTAAGCTCGATTAAAAACCCGCGTTCATAAATGTAAAACGGGGTTCGGGATTTCGGAAACAAGGGGTTTCCCGTGCACCTCGGATTCCGTACTTAAATCACGGCACGTTTTATTATATCTCCACTCTGCCGGTAAAAACAAATTTCGACCGCTAAAACTTTAATCCAGATTCTGCACAATGCCCGCGGTAGGATTTCGGCGCGGCTTGATTGGGGAATCGTTTATCGGCTACGAAGTATTCCGAGCTCCCTTATAAATGCAGATTTCCCGTCGAATTGAAAGGCATTTAGTCCATGCCGCTCTTAACTTTCCCGCAAAAATGATATCTTTCTTCTCGGCTCCGGCTTGGCTCGTTGAATGATCATGCGATTTGAAAAGCAAATTCACTTTCCGAGCACATGCGGCAAAACCGTTTTCTTTTCTTTTTACACGGATACAAGTATCCTTAAAACGTTTATCGAACGTTCCACTCTTCGTTGTAAAAATTCCATAATTATGTAGCCAAATGTTCACGCGGGAAACGCTTGCACGGCGAAAGTCGCACACTTGAACCGTGTTATTCCTTAAGTGAACACCAGCGGCAAATGTCAAGCTGTTTCACCCGACCTTTCAGAAATCCCTCGGATCCCGAAATCCGGGTGAATTGAACTCGGAAGGAGACAAGCGGAAGAACATTCCTCAAAGAGGGCTGCGACTATAATATTTAGTCGATCGGTGGCAACTGAAAGTTCTGAAAGAAACGACCCGCGATGCCGGTTACCTCGCGAATGCAGGCTGCGTGCTGGCCGAAGCGGAATTGAACCGCCGTCGATCGGAAAGTAAATCGATTTCGTTCGGTTAATTGGGTCGCGAGACGAAACGTGTAAGTTATCTGTGGATTTCGGCGCATCTGCACCGCGCGACACGCATCTCGCCGTGCCTGTGGTGAGTACCAAATTTCATCACTCGAGTTTAATCTGTGTAATTGCTACTCGTGCGAACGCCTCTTCCGAAAACCGAGGAGACAGGCCGAGTAAACAATTTATTCCCTGCAACGTCGCCGGGAACAACCAAGACGCGCATCGAATTCTATTCGCATTTCTGCGGCTAAAATAATTTCAGCGTCGTTTCAGGCGTCAAGTTTATAGCACAGTAGGCCATTGAATTTGTCCGGACACCGACGAAAATATTATCCAAGTGAAAAAATACGTATTAACATTTCAAAGGTCGAGGTGGCCAGCAGTTTTTTTGAAAAGAACATTCTTTCTGCAAGTTTTTCGACTCTACTTTAGAGAAAAGCGAACACTGACCTATCTTTGTTGGAAACATTTTTTTGCCGGCACCACAGAAATGTCTGAAGAAAGCGTGGTTTTGAGATTCGATACGAACGTCAGCGACGAGCCTTGAACGGGGCGCACGACCATTGAAACCTCGGACGCTCGTATGTTAAAAATCACAGAAAGCTCTAAGCAGCGAGAGAAGTAGCGCTTGAAATATTCCGTAGTTTTCCTCCAAACAATTTCAACTCGTTCGAAAGAAGCTCCAGGTTTATCATTTCTCAACATTCTTTCGTGTATCTTCTCAAAGTTGCAATTGATATAAACTGTAGATTGTTTCTAAATGCTTCGACTATTAAACACATAATTGAATAATTGATATATATATTCGTGAACAGTCTGGAATCGGAAATACTGGCTTGAAGACCAAATTGTGCAAACGAAGGTAAAACTATAATATTTTGAAACATCATGCCTATGCATGAAAGTATAATGCGAACCTGATTTTCGATGTTTCAAAATATTATAGTTTTACCTCCGTTTGCACAATTTGGTCTTCAAGCCAGTATTTCCGATTATACAATATAACGCAAAGGGAGTGTTATATTTGGATCCTGAAACTCCGACAGGAAACAGAACTTCAATAATTGAATTTTGGTTACAAAATCCCGCTCTCCGGACTGCTGTGCGACGGCGCATCGTTTAATTATCGGGCGTTTTTCGCGGACTTTGGACACATGGGAAAGCATTCGGTCTCATTTCCAAATGTTTGTCTACGATCTCGAATCCCCCGATATGGTAGTTTTCGAGAATCGATCGGGCTTGATTGCATTCACATCGGATTCCTTCTAAAATTGTTTCCCGCTGTGCCGCGAACAGTTCCTGTTTACGCGGGTCCAGCTCGTGATTAATTTGTTGCAATTATTCTTTTGCAAGTGCTCCGCGTTTTTCGAATTTTCGAGGTTCGTCCTGCGCAGATGGGAAAACAGCGGTCGCTGTTCTAGTTTCGCTTTATATTGTGTTTTCACGTCTCCCGTTATCTCGTCTATATCATTAACGTTTTCTCTTTCCGGCGGAACCCAGACACCGTGTTTGATTTTTCCAGCGCGCTTCTCGCGCGAAAAATATTGGAAATCCTCTTGAATCCGAGGAACAATTTCCAAGAACAAAAAGTCCATTATCTTCCGCTAAATTGGAATTTAGGCTCCGCCCTTCGTCAAGCTCGCCAATCGTTAAAAATGTTTGATACGGTGCTACTGAATATTCGTTATTTCAACGGTATTACTGAAAATATTGCGCGATCACTTTTCGTTCGTAGTGCTACAGAAAATATTGTTTTTATTGTAAGATAAAAATAATGATGCATTTCTTAATTATCAGTATTTTCAGACCCTTGCGCTGTAACAAATAATTAGACTCATGGCGAAGGTATTATACGTATTCTAAATGAATGCTATTTATCATTTTTTCTTTTATCAAAGCTTAGGAATAAAATTAAGTAGAAGTCATACAAGAAACAAAAATTCTATTAGGAAAATTTTTAAGGATGAAGAATTGTTAATTAACACTAGAACTACCAAACCAGTCAAAATTCTGATTTACTTTTGTTACAATTGCTGATGTTATAAAAATGTTTCTATGAGGAATTTTTAAATGAACTTCTTCGTTCATTCGTACAATGTTATAGAAATCGTACTGAGTTTGAACAACTTGGCCAGTTTAACAAACATATTAATCACGAAACCGAACAAAACGCAGTGTACATTGAGTGTTCGAAACTTCTGCTACAAACTCAGAGATCTGCAGCCTAAATGATGCAAAAATGTTATATACCACCAGTCATCGTGAATCGTTCGGGTGTAACAGTGAGAAATGGTCGCAACAAAAACCGTTCCATGAAAAATTATGCTTTCCAGTTTGCTTGGAAACCGCGTCCGCACCGCGAGAAAATTTCAAAATCGGTGTACCGGCGCGGTTGTTTTGAGTTCATCAAGCTAATGGACACTTTTGGCTGTTGAAACTGGAGAACGGTTCCACGAAATGGCTCAGGAAAAACTTAGGACGCGGTAATATTAGCATACACAGTGTACCGTTGGTTCTTTCCGCCAGTTTTTACCGTTATTTTGTGTAAATCCAACGTCTTCACCATCAGTCGCGATTTTCCGATAATAGCTAACCTTTTTACGTAGCCTTAAACTGACCAAAACGGCTGGCATTACTTCTAACAACGTCTAAATACACGTTGCCCGTGCTATTTATCGGTAAACTGCGGAACTTTGTGCAAGATCAAAATTGTCTCTATTAATCGTCTGATATAGGAGCCAAGCACAATATTTCTTTCTTCTTTAATAATTTGAACGAATCCAGATTAATGCATCAACGATCTCAGTTTCTATTAATCTTTTGAATTACAACCACTCGCGCGCGTTTCTGTTGTAAATGCATAAAATCCGCAGTATACGTAACAATTTCGTAAAATATTCACCTCTTACCGGCAGGGCTGAGGAAAAATAGATTTCCAAAACAGTAAATAGACTACGAATATTTTTATCTTCTAATGTGACACAGAATTTAGATGACATACTGTCGCAATAATGTAATCTTCTTCTAAAATGGTAAACAGTATTATCTCATAATTGAAACATTTAATGAAATCACTTTTTCACATAGCGCATCATTCAAGCATTAAATTAAATAATATTTTCAAACAGTACTTTGTTCAAGTATCGGACTAGCATTGATATATGAAATAGTATTTCCAAATAGTACTGTATCGAAGCATTAAATGAAATAGTATTTCCAAATAGCGTTCACGTATGCAAATATATCAGTGTTCACTGTTTTATATCAAATTACCTCAAGTTTACCGCAGAGCCCTGTTTTCCGGTCGTTTCTGGGATCGTTTTCCGATCTAAGAAGAGAAAGAGCAGCAGCCCGGGTTCATAGAGAACTTCGCAGAAATGCGATCCGCTGCCGGAATTTCTGCTGGAATATTTCAAAACGCGCAGCAAATCATCGGCCACTTCGTCGTATCGGCGAATTATTATTCGATTAACCGAGAAATACGAGCGTGCCACGGAATGTTCCGGTGTTGCCCGAAGCTATGAACGTTTTAAGACGAATATCGCTGACGATAAGCGCAATAAATCGGTAAAAATAGCAGATCCTCGGGGCGAGCACTCGGATCGTCGCTATCGAAAATAGTTTCGAGTAGACGCGCTAAAGAGCAAACACGCATAAATCCTCGTACAGCGCAAACACCCGGCATTCGAGGCTCGTAATAAAAATGAAATCCGACTTGCGGCGATATCGTCAAACGGCAACTTATTCCGGAGCCGCCGCCGCCGTCGTAATGCAGTTGGCGGACATGCCCTGGAAATATCATCGCGGCGTCCACACCCATCCTCGTAAATCGACACCCGTAACCATGTGTGTTCGGTTTTATGATCGATGCCTCGCTTCCTCGCCTGTTTACGCGTGCCGACGTCAAGGAGAGTTCCCTAAAGGGAGCAACCATAACGGAGCCCGCAGTCGCACCGAAACACGTCTAATAAATCCTCGCTGCGTCCATCACGATTCCGCGCCGTAAAAAAGCTGCGAGTGAACGCTCGCGATTCGAAGCGATCCGATTTTTTCCATCCACCCAGTCGATGCCACTCGGCGACGCTTAATTGATTTTTCGCGGCTTCGTCGAAATTTTGCTTTACGGCGGCTGAAATTTTCCACGAACAATGTGGACGATGGAAAATGGAAACGTTAAATAGTTTCTAAATAATCGACGCGCCGCGTGGCATGAAAATGAATCGGGTGGAATCGTAAATGACGAATTCGTCGCAACGATGCCAATTTGTCGCTCGATTAAGGAAATTATTTATTCAGCGGGACGGTTGAAGCATCGAGTTTGTTGCTCGACTGTAACGCGCCGAACGGTCTGCTAGTTTTCTGGTTTTTTGGTCGGGGGGTCAACGAATTCGAAACAGGTTGCCCAGATCGCAGACAAGAGTTACGTCTGTATCGTTCGCAGATCTGAACTTTGTTGCATGTGCCTTTCTTATCGTCAGACCGCAGCTTGCTTTTTTGCTTATTCATGCACGAGGTATCTCGCAGCAACGCTGAAATTAGTAGAGCCAATACATGCGATAAACCCGCGGATTTATCGAGGAAATCGAGGCTGCCGGTGTCTTACTTTCGCGGGATTGATTTTCAGTGGAATGGGACGGGCATGATCAGACTCAAGGGGACTGATTCAATTGTTCTATCTACACCCAAAATGCATGAATCATGTTCAGTTCGTTCCGTATTGTCAGGATCCTCGGAGAAATTTAATATTGTCGTCAATATAATAAACAACAATTATAGTTTATTCGTAAGTATATATAGTTTATTAGTTTATTTATTTTTTCTTTTTATTTTAATTAAAATAAATGTTACGATCGTCACTGTTTCAGAAGTAAATAGCTCGAGAACGATGAGCAGATTTTTCGGCAGAATAAAAATTGTCCATGTCAATTACAAGAAGTAGAAACTAAAGAGAAAGTGTTTCCTTTTCTTCATAATTTCATTAGATTGGAGATTTTACAACGATATTCTGAAATTCTTTTGATCTCTCTATTATTTCAATATCGCTGATTTGAATGTTCCTGCTCAAGTAATCTCTCGTATAATTTA